AATTTAAGATAAATTTTCCATGGAATTATATGAGCTCTATTTTTCCGTCGCCGATAAAATTATTATCTATTCCGTTTGTAATTTCCTTTCTCGCGAAATATGATCTCAATAAACGGAAGAGGGAAGCGAATAGTCCGCCAATTACGTGTACCGCGATGTTACAGTGTCGACAACGCTATGGTACTATGAGGTCTCGATTACCAGGCAAGAACTGGATCGCTCGATCGAGGTAGCCAGCTCGCGGCGATATTATCTCGTTAGCTCGAATTTACGATTAGAAAACGCCGTAGCGCGCGCGCCGTTTTGTATCACCTTACGGGTTTCTATCTAGAATTGTCAGTTCGGCGACCGCGGGAACGTTCACCGCGTTCCCGCGGGGAAACAGCGAAATCTTCGACTTTGCGAGGTCACAAGGAACACTTAAAATCCGACACTCCGACAACTGCCACGATCTCGATCGCCGTAACGAAGTCAAGGAATATTAAACGGACACATTTCGCGCAGGGGTTGATTCACGATACTCGAACGAACCAGATTCGAAAACCGGATCGCCGTAGTATCTCATTAGCGAAGCAGGAAGGCGTGCATGTCCTCGAGGACACGCGGAGGTCTGAGAACTCGGGGCAAATTCGTAGCCTGTTCCGTAACATCGACGACCGCGGTAAACCAGACGAAAGTCGAGGAGTCGACCTCGAGAGGTAACAAGCCGGTGTCATGTTTCGCGGGTATGCGATTATTCGGCGACATTTCGCGGTTTGCGATGCACGAGCAGCCTCGACATCGAATCCCGCAAATCGTTACGCAAGAGCGAAAATCGCATCTCTCTGGCGTAAGATTACCGTGAACATTTGATAGGACACTCATCGGTAATCTCGATCGACACAAAAAGAAATCGACATCAAAATTTTATATCACGATAATCCACGTGAATCTGCAGAAACTATCGAGTCGTTGATTTTAAAATAGACATAAGCCTAATTGAATTTTCCCACGAAGTGCAATCTCAATGCAGAATATCATTTACTATTGCCTTTCATTGAAATTCATGACTAAGCTGACGTTACATAAAATAAAGTTTCAGAATAAAAATCTAGATATCGTAATTAAAAAATGTTTTATTTCATACATTTCAATCTTTGAGCCTGAAATGAGAATCATTATTTTTCTAGCGATTTCCATGAAACATTTCATAAAATTTCGGAGGTCAATCCTACGAGACGTACAAACGGGAATACAGAAACGTAGATGAAATCACGGGGAGATATTAAGACCAGGGTCAAAGGACGCTTCATAATTCCGAAAGCCACCGGCGGTAACGCGTTCTAGGAAACGCGTGACACTCCTAGGAAGTAAAGCACTAGGAAAGCCGCGCGGCGACTGTCGTGAGAAGTGGCAGACTTCGTTGGCCACGCCGCGCGCATCTAAATTTCCTCTCTGTCCGTCTATCGCGTACGTATGTACATACGTACATCGCATACGTTGACACCGCGACACGGCGGCACGTGCTGTAAGCACAGGTGCCGACGTGTGTGCATGCGCGCGCTCGTAAAGGCAAAAAAAGCGGTAGACGCGCGCGAGCGAGTACGAGAGGCCGGCAGACGCGAGATAGAGAAAAAAAGAGCAGACCGGCAATAATAATCAAAGGAGTGATCCGAGCGAGCGGCCGGTAGAGCGCCACTTTGTCGGACCTGTCTTTCGAGTTTCGTCTCGTGCCACATACAGACAGGTCCGTCGCTTATGATATACGCACACGCGTTCGCAGCGGGGTACCGCGATACGCCTGATTTCCGGTTTGAGAAATGCCCGATTCCGGTTCCGAAGCGGGTCTACCGCGGAGGCGAATCCGGAGAGGCTCGGTATCGCAAGTCCTAAGTCCTGGTGCCGCAAGTTGCCGCGAACGATGAGGCCCGTGTCCGTGTGCGCTCGTGCACGCCTGTGTACTCGCGTACGCACAAATGGTCATGCGTGTCGCGACCCTGCGGTGACCCCGGCGACCCTGCAGGTTCACGTGTCGGGCCGCCGTTGCCGCCGCGCCGGGGTGAGTGCCTTGTCGTCGATAATGCTGCACCGTAAGCACGTAATTGCCTCTTGCGCTCGTACTTGCGCCACAGTGCGCGCGCGTTGCGCGGTCACTGTGCGTGCGACGCGCAGCGCGCATTTTGCGCGCGCGTCATCCTCTCCGCCGTGCGGGATGTGCAACAGTAAAAAGCCCGGTGGAATGTGGTGGTAGACTGTGCGGCGGTAATTTACTCGTTTGCAGCGCGAATGCACGCGCTCGCGAGTCGCATGAGGCACGAATTTGCGCGCGGCGCGTATTGAGTCGCCCTCTCCCCCTCCCCCCCCCGAGAGAGAGAACGGGGAACAACGCGCCGCGGATACCGGTGTAATCAGCGAGATTTTCGAGATTTTTCTGCACGCATGGAAAAAGAATGCGGCTTTCCGATCTTCTCCAGCCTTCTCCATTCGTCGCCGAAGATTGACGTTTCCCGGGGGTGAAGAGGTGAAGCGATAAAAAACGGTATATACACGTTGATGTCGTCGGCATCGCTAAATGCGCTTTTCTCTCCTTCGTACCGTTTATTTCAACTCGAGATAACAAATTCCTAAGAATATATGCAATTAGATACTAACCGACGTAAAAAAGTAATTAATTTTATTCGCCTAAGGTTCATAATAAAAGGTTAAAAAAAATATTATTATATTGCAACGTCAGAGTTTTATCTAGATTGTTATTTTTTAAATTCTTCTGCATTCTCAAATCGGTGGAGAAAAGGATACTCTTTTAAACAAAAAAAAAAGAAATATTTACTTGATACATTTGCATACAATCATATCTCTGTTGCAGATAAGATCTCATATAGTCATTACATAGCAATGTAACAACGTTATAATAATAATCGAAATAAATGGGTATATATTCACATAAACTACACATTGTTCAGATACACAGCAAAGTTAACAATTTCTTAGTCAGAAGTTAAATTTATAGTCCTGATAATCTATCTCTAGTTGTTTTCCGAGACATATCTTATCAACAAGGTTGTAACAAGTTGATTTTCCGCGCTTCCGACCCAATATACTTCAACTTACGGATGCTTACATTGAATATTAGTAATTCCTCTATTGACGTTATCGATTTTTTTCACATGATGGTGCGAATGCGTGATGGTGTGAAACCGATTGCATATGCACGAACTTTACGAAATAGCTATCCGAAAATGGGCATTCTCCTTCTCCTTCGTTTTAAACTCTCTTTTCTTGTGTGCCTTTCTTCTTCTCTTCTTCTCTGGCCACTAACATTTGGCACTTAACTCCTCTACAACTACGAAGTCGCGAAGAAAAAAATATTTTGTTTCGCACATTGTTTACACGTTGCAAGATCGTACCATGGTTTATTCCGAAGCTTTTACATTTAAATTTAATCGAAGCGAAATGTGTCTAAAAAAAGGTTATATTCACCCTTTGAAATTTTTTACGAGGCAAGAAAATGCTGACGTATAATGATACTTTTTTAATTAACAAAAACTTCTATTGTAAATTGGAGGAATTTTGGATGAAGACGTGTTGATGACAGTTACACAGAACCAATCACGTTCCCGAGAGCTTAAAACGTCAGTCAGACGCGGTCTGCAATCTGATACCTCGCACCTACCGATCCTAAATTTCCAGGGGTGCGTATCGGGTTCCCAAGGTGCACGCACGCGAATCCCGTTTCGCACCGCGCTTTCTCGGATTAGCATCGCATTATTGGGAAACGCGCTCTCGCGAGAGCCGTCGCGAATGGAGAACGAGCGCGAGCGGATCCATTTC